TAGGGGAAAACTACGGGAAGGTTGAAGAAATAGACTGGAAAATAAATATAGGTGTTCCTCAACTTATGGTGGAGTTATGTCCAGATAAGTCAAAAAATGCATTTAATGCTGGCAGCACAGCACTGTATAGTGTGTTAAGATTAGGTAAAGGATCTACAATTAGAATAGTAATACCTATCATTTGTGTCTTTTATCTGTTTAAGCACTTTACATATCATTTCTTATTTATTCTTATATGATCATTGTTACTCCAATTTCTGATGGGAACTATACAGTCATTTGAATCACTGTTCTATATGTAATGTGCTGTTTTCCTCTAACTGCTTTCAAGATTTCTTCTTTATCTTTAGTTCTCAGGAGTTTGATTATGATGTGTCTGGGCCTGGTTTTCTTTGACTTTATCTTATTTTGGCTTTGCTGAGCTTCTTGAATCTATAAACTTATGTCTGTCACCAAATTTGGGAAGTTTGCTGCCATTATTTTTCAAATATTTTTTCTGCTCCAATCATTTTATCCTCTCCTTCTGGGACTCCAGTGCAACAAATGTTAGACCTTTTGGTCCTATTCCATATGTCCTTGAAGTTCTGCTTGTTTCTTAATCCTTATTCTCTCTCTTCTTCCAGATTGGATAATTTCTACTGATCTATCTTCAAGTTCACTTAATCTTTTCTCTGTCATCTTCGCTCTGCTGTTGAGTTCATCCACTTAATTTTTTGTTACAGATATTTTGTTTTTCATTTCTAAAATTTCCATTTGATTCTTTTTAAAGTTTTTATTTCTCTGCTGAGAATTTCTATCTTTCCATTTATTTCAAGTGTGTTTATCTTTACATCATGGAGCATAGTTATTAAAGCTGCTTTAAAGTCTGCCTTATAATTCTAACATCTCAGAATTGGCATCTTAATTGTTTTTGCCCTTGAGAATTGATCACATTTTCTAGGTGCCTTGTATATGTCAAGGAATTTTAGAATATATCCTGAATATTTTAAATGTTATGTTGTTTGGAGTCTGGATCATATTTAAATCCTCTGGAAAAGGTTGATTTTTTTTTAAAAAAAAAAAAAAAAAAAAAAAAAAAAAAGTCTGCTTCAGTAAGCAATCATCCTGGTTAGGTTCAGACCACAAGTTCTATCTCTTCCGTAAGTAGTGGTTTCAATGTCGGTTCAATTTTCAAATTCTTTTGAATCTGTTCAAACTCCAAAGGTACACATGTGCAGCTCAGAGGTGAGCCTGGGACTTAATACAGCTTTATTTACAAAATTAGAGGGGTCCTCTTCTCCAGCTCTCTCCTCTGCAAGATCCTCCCCCAACACTGTCTGGTCCACTGAA